AGATGGAATGGGATCAGAAATGAATGCTTGTTGATTTCCCATTGTTAATCTGTAGGTTTTACAGCGACAATAGAAGGATCAATTATGTAAAATGAAGGCAACAATTTCTAAGTAGCTTCCACAGTGTCTGAATTCTCGCAATGTGCCAATACATGCAAATCACCCCAATTATCTTCCATCGCCTCACAAAATAGAATATGGTTTCAAAGATTTAAGGATTCACCAGATACCTCACTGCCACCAAACAGAGCAAAGATCCTACAAGGGACAATTTTCAGGCGAACATATCCCCCACCAGAGCTAGATGACATGAACGACATCATAAATCTTCCCCTCCACAGTCTAGTCCATTCGTCATACAAAATTACTCCCTTCTTCCTTCTCCGCTAGATAATGTCACAATAATAAATGATTTCAATATGAAATTTCTTCCAAAGAAATGGGCTTCTAAAAAAATGCTACTAAAATTAAATAATACATGGTGATTTTTTTGAATTATTTCATTGTAATTTCTTACAGACATTTCTAAGAAGTCAAAGTAGATGTTTTCATAATAGAATAATAAAGATACTGGGATATAAGATTTACTCAGTGAGAACATTTACCTTGCTAATGGTCACATAGAAATTTTCATAGTGCCTCATATATGTAATACTAGTTACTCAGGATTTGAGGATCACTGTTTGAAGCCAATCCAGTAAGAAAAGTCCGCAGCATTCTTATCTCCAGTTAGCCAGGAAAAAGCCAGAAGTAGAGGTGTGGCTCCAGTGGTAGAATACCAAGCTTGAACAGAGGAAAACACCAAGTAAGAGGCCAAGGCCCTGAGTTCATTGCCCAGTACCAGCTACTTACAGCAATTCCAGGGTACGTTAAAAGCTGATAACCTTAGAAATATGGGTGGGTAATGATTGATCATTTTTTTTTATTATAGTTTTGAGGAATATATTCCCAATCTGTATTTTTGTTTATTTACTTGTAGTATTTTTGTATATATTTTTTATTGTAAAGATACTGTACAGAGCAGTTTCAGTTACATGAGTAAGGTAATGAGTACATTTCCTATCAAACATTGTTACCCTCTCCTTTGTTTTTCCCTACCATCCCTTCCCTCCCCACCTCCCCAACTTCTCCCTCCCACAAAGTTGTAAAGTTCATTTTCATCGTAGTGTCTTGTACATCTCATTGCTGCAATGGATCAACCTGTATCCTTGTTTCAGCACTGTTATTTCCCTTCCCCTCCCCAAATTAGAAAAATGTATATACATGATGCAGGGCACTGGAATCAAAATACAGTGAAAACAGGGGTTATACCATGAGGGAAGAACATACAAAAGAAACCAAAAAAATCACATGGTTCATTATAATTACTTTAAAAACAACAGGAAGAAAGCGCTCTACCACTTCAACTACAGTGCCACTTCCGGCTTTTTTCTTTTTGCTTATGTGGTGCTGAGGAATCGAACCCAGGGCCTCATGCATGCAAGGCAAGCGCTCTACCACTGAGCGACCTTCCTGGCCCCATTTGTTCACTCTTTGTCCTCGTCCCACTCTCTTTTTAAATTAAAAAATTACTTTAGCCAAGGGATGGTGGTTGCATCTGTAATTCTAGCTACTAAGGATGCTTAGAGCTGAAGTTCCAGGTTCAAAGCCAGTCTGGGCAGGAAAGTCTGTGACACTCTTATCTACAATTGATCACCAAAAAGTCAAAAATGGATCTGTGGCTCAAGTAGTAGAACAGAAAAGCTCAGGAACAGAGCCCAGGTCGTAAGTTCAAGCCCCAGGACTGGCACACATACACAAAAAGAATTGGTTGAATTCCCATTGCATTGCTAGAAGGTAGATTTGCACAGCTCTCTCTTCACTACCATCTGAACCATTCCACACCCCTCTTTTGCACTGCTTAGTTTTACATCATGTCTTACATTTTGTCTGGTCTCACACCTGGACCAAGATTCTATTATTTTAGGCTTCCCACAGTAGGTAGAACGACAAGAGTACACTACCATCTATGCCCCGGCTTCTTTTGTTGAGATGACATTTTGTGATATATTTTGCCTAGGCTGGTCTAGAATCATGACTCTCCTGTTCTCAGAATCCCCCATGGCTTCGATTACAAGTATATACAGGGAACCCATTCACTGATTGAGACAAGAGTGTCATGAACTTCATGCCTCCACTAGACTTGAACCATAATCCTTCCTATCTCAGCCTCCTGGGTAGCTTCTGTGACATCATCAGCTGTGATGTATGAAACAAGTTTTGTTTCTCCATTCTCCATCAAAAAATCTTTATGCTATTGATTCCTGTAGGCAGGTCTTTAGAAAGGAAATCCATTCATTTCTTCTTTCAAGTCAGTCTTAAAGACAGTTGTTTAAGATATGCATGACAAATTTAAAAAAGAGAACAAAGACAGTAAACATATTTTTATTTTATAAGGCAGATTTTAACTCTGAATATTTACGAAGAGGATTTTTGAATGGCATCATACTTAAATCTGTGACATTTTTCTCATGAGAAATTTGTGTAAAAATTAAACAAATTGGCTGTACACATATACATACACATATATATATGTATATATTTAATGAAAGAGAAATGCCAGAAAACAAACAGCAGTCAAGCCATTTCATTGAATTGTACATTGTAGCACAAATTATTTTCTTTTTTCCCCGTGTTGGGAGTAGCCTGCCAGGGCCTGATGATTTATTTAAATGGAGGGAATTTTTATAGCCCTAACATATTAACATCCTTTATTAACTTTTTTCTTTTGTGGCTGAATAAGACACAAAGCTTCAGCTTTCCCAGGAAACACACACACTCCATTGCCAGGCATCTGCTCGATTTAAAGACCTAGAATTCATGGATCTTTTTTGTTTTGTTTTGTTTTTTACACAACAAATATATTAGTTTCTCTTTCTTCATGAGCACATTTGGGGCATATATGTTAAGAGGAATGCCTACAGCTTTTTTATCTTGCATCTGTTCTCAGAGCCTCACTTGCTTTCCATGATCAAAAATACTACCCAAGCCCATGGCTCAGGAACACCTGCTCTCTCCCTCCTGCCATCTTTCTCTAGACACATGATCCTCCTGGGGAAGCTGTAATGATGTCCAAAGGAATGACTCAAACAGAGCTGGATGTAGAATCCAGGTAAGCGGCTTCACAACTATCTAAATAACTCAAATTGCAGCTTCATTTCCCAAGTAAAAGCCAGAATTCTCAGTATATTTCTTAAAGAGGCCCAGAGAAGGACAACAGCATAATTTTATTATAATAAATTTACTTTATTATTATTAATTTACTTTAATATTTATGTATCATTATTTTACTTTATTGTGATAATAGAGATGATGTACAGAGGGGTTATATTTACATGAGAGCTTGTTTAATTTTTCCCAGTATATCTTCAGGATAGGGCCCCAAAAGAATATTTAGAGTCTTTAAGGAAAGAAAAAGAAAAGAAAAGACACTCCATTTATTCCAGAACAGAGAAACAACCAGAATGCCAGGCAGTTTAGAACTTTTTTTTCAGACTTTTTGCTGTGTTTTTTTCCCCAAGTAATGTTTTATAGAAGGATTTATTATTATGACCTGACTTAGATTAAGCTAATACTGCTATTTTAATATATGCCTTCTTGAGTATGCATGAATTGTAAGATGCAACAAATACAGGTAAAAGAAAATGCCTAGCTCTGTTTTACAAAGAGAAGGAAAAGCATTGCAATAATTTCTTGGTCTAGATAGGTATATTAAACAATTGGTTATCTGTGTTTTATAATCTAGTATGTAAATCCATTTTAAGGCTATTTAAGATAAACTTTAATAATATACATCAGATCCTAGTGGTGTTTTAAGAACTAGGAAACATCTTTCTTTGTTTCTGTGTTCTTTTCTTTCTGTCCAGTTTGCTCATTTGTCTGTCTCTGGGAGTGTAGAGGAACACAGAACTTAAGAGAAAAAGAGTGAAAAAGTGTAGCAGTGGTGCTCACTGGATACTATGTTGAAAGTGAACTACACAACTTTCAGTGAGATGGAAGGGAAGGACTGGGAGACAGTGAAGGAAGGATGACACTGTACAAAGGGAAATGTACTCACTACCTGACTTAATGCAACTGTAGACCCTCTGTACATCACCTTTAAAATAACAATACATTTAAAAATAATTAGGAAAATTAAGATGGGTACTTGTGGCTCACCTCTGTAATCCTAGTTACTCAGAAGCTGAGAACTGAGGATCATGAATCAAAACCAGCCAGAGCAGAAAAGTCCATGAAACTCTTGTCTCCAATTAAGCAGCAAAAAAGCACAAGTGGACCTGTGTATTAAATGGTGGTAGAACATCATCCTTGAGCAAAATACCAACAAGAGAGCTGAGTTCAGGTCCCAATACCAGTACAAAATAAATAAATAAATAAACAAATAAAAAATGAAAATTAAAAGGTCTCATTCCTTTTTCTCACTATTCTGGTTCAAAAATTATTTTTAATTTGGTTTCCCTATGTCCCAGCTCCAAAGCACCCCCATGCACTGCACCCCTTTTCCAAAAATATTCTCAAGTATCTTGTACCAAAGGAGGAAGACAAAAGATGATGGAGTTGAGGGAAAGTTCTGAAGAAGTGGTTTGGGCTCCTATTTTTTCTTTTCTTTTCTTTTCTTTCTTTCTTTTTTTTGTCAGTTGTGGAGTGTGAACTCTGGGCCTGGCACTCTCCCTCAGCTCTTCAGCTCAAGGCTAGCGCTCTACCACTTGAGCCACAACACCATTTTCGGCTTTTTTTTTCTGCTTATATGGTGCTGTGGAATCGAACCCAGGGCCTCATGCATGCAAGGCAAGCGCTCTACCACTGAGCCACCTTCCCATGGGCTCCTATTTCAAAGGAACTTTATGTTGAAATTTTGGGGGCATTTAATACCAAGAGTGAGATGGCTTCTATTAGAATATATCATAATTACAAAATACACACAGAGAGATATAATGAGCCATATTGTTCTAATCACCAACTTAGTGTAAAGCAGTTAGTTCTTGGAAATCATTCTCCTCTACTGTCTCATCTTCTTCACCTCCAGAGGAAGAAGACAGAGAAGCAGCAAGATCGCTCTGCCGTAGAGGTGAGCTCTGAAACCTCACGACTTCTAATTCTTCTTCTTCCTCTTCTTCTTTCTCTGGCTTGCTGTCATCCACAGCTGAGATCATAGAGAGAAAGGATAGGTTTCATCGTATTGGTGAGAAAGAAACTGAGAAAGGACACTTTGAACTTGGCAGTCCAGCAAAAGGTATCTAGTACCACCAATCAATATGCAAGAAAGCAGAGCCCAAATTCATTCTCAAGTATATCCTTCCAATGACTGTTCTTTACCTTATTTCCAAGCCCACTGTAGTTCATCCACATAAGTTGGTTTTTCTGAAACCTCACTTGCTGGGTTTAGAGGACGAGCATACAAGGCAATGTGCACTATTGCACAGAATGCTCAATCCCTCTCAGATCAAATATGTAACACAGTACTGTCCTTATTCTACCCATAATGTACAGGGTTGGTGAAGGATTTGGGACATGGAAGAATTCTAGGCCTTTTCTCCATAGGGCATAGAAGTTCATGATCAAATCTGAGTCCTGAATTTTATCCATGTGTTCAAGGTACTAACAGTTCAGGAAGAAAGCTGAGCTTCTAAGTTTTTCCACTTGGATCTGTGCATGCAGTATGTACATTCACGCTATATGATCATTTCTTGGCTCTCTGGGCATAAGAGCAGATGGCATATAAAATTCAATTTTTTGTTGGCTCTGTTAATTGGATGAAAAATGGTAAATGATAATATACTGTGTTTAGTATATATAGATAGCCTAGTTGTGTGTGTGTGTGTGTGTGTGTGTGTGTGTGTGTGTATGGCTGGTCATTATGACATACAGTTAAGCTATCTATCTGAAGAAACAAGCCAATTGTCAGAATTTAGTAATTTGTCTCTTTAAGCAAAGAAATGCTATTTTTCCAGAGAGCTAAAGTGATATATTTGATCTGTTATTAGATTGATATGTGAATGGATATCAGTCTTTTTGATCTGTAATTTAACTTCAATACAACTGTAGTTCATACTAATAATAATGATTACACAATGCAATTTAGAGAGATGGAGGAGAACCATGGAAGAGGTGACATTGATTAGATGCATTATTCCTATAAACTGATGTATAATTGAAACCCCTCTGTATTACTTAAAGGACATATATTTTAACTTAAAAATTAAAAAAAAATGAAAATGTGAAGATGATACAGCTAAAGTAAATCACTGCAACAATTCACATGAGATTTTAGTAATGGTATATGCAAAGTCAGCTAACTTTTCACACTGCATTCTAACACCTATACATGAAAAAGAAGGTATCAAGGAAGAAGCCATCTGAGAGGCAGGCAAACTAATCTTAACAATTAGGTTAGAACATTGTGAGAGCACTCACCTTAAAATTTACCTTAGTTCTATTAGTATTCCATATGTAAAGGTTTCTGGCACAGATTTTGGCTCATAAAATGATAAGCCTTTTAATACTGTCCTCTAATTTAATAAAAGAAGCTCATTGAAAATGACTTTCAGCAACCAGCTAATTCCAGTCAGGCAGGCCGTGGATAATTCTAAAGACAGCATGCGACCTTCACAATATCTCATTTGCCTGAATATATATATAAAATTAGGTGAGCGGGAATGTGGCCTAATGACCATGATAATAATTGTAGTTACTTTTAGTTGAATTGTTTCTCTGTGTTGATCACCCTAGTAGGCACTTTACATTTATTTTTTATTGCACTCACTAAGCCTATTACTGGATTTAATGGACTGATGGACCCTGTGCTCTTAGATGCTAGATTCACCCAGGTCCACATGACAGTACTTGGTGGTAGACACAGGTAGAACCTCAAATCTCTTTAGTGCCTCTGAGTCAGAGCTCCTTCTCCGTGGTTGGCCCATTCTGTTTATTTTGTCTTTTCAGATAGCAACACTTTGCCATCACAGGTACAACCATCAGAGCTGATCTGGAAGCCTTGCTGGCAGCTGCATTCATAGCCCCCTAAATAGTGGATGCAGAGCTGGGCACAGCAGGAGTCTCCGTTCTTACATTCATCAACATCTGAAAGAGAAAGGATAAGTCTGCTATGGCAGAAACAGGAATTTAACCAACACACTGAAGCTATGAGATGCCTCATTTCCAAATTAACACTGCTTCCCTTGATCGTCCATTGTTGAAGTCGCCCAGTGCAGAGATTGAAGAGAACAGGAAAATAATGAGACACACTGTGTGAGTGTTTCTTGGATGCTTCTTCTATGCCTGTTGTTTATTTTAAAGGAATGTAAATAATCTCCAAATGTATTTAGAAGTAGAAGAAAAAGAGATCCAGCAGATTATTCCATTTTAAACAGTCAGGGGAGTGAACAGACAGAGAATTTAAAGAACAAAAAGACAGATTGATAAAGAAGAGCCAAACAATTCATTTAGTAACCATGTGACAGCTGCAAAACGGAGACAGACCCAGATTCCAAAATGTGTTTGTTCTAATACTTCAGATCAAAGAGTGTTCCCTGAAAAAGTTCTACTCTCACAGAATCCTGAAGAAAAGCAGTTACTTCAGTTCTGAGACTAGGAAGGATATTTATTCTAAATATTATGCTTCAATTAAGTTATAAAATATTTTCAGAGCATTTGCTCAGAGCATTTTCAGAGCATTTGAGGATCTGATGGAGACAAATAAGGCCTGGGGTTTTATTCTAACTTTGCCATCACTACTGTGGAATGTCCTGCCAGGTCAGTACATATTGTTCAAATGATGATCTTTAAGTCTACTTCAGTATTTTTATTCTAGAACTCTGAGATTTGGAATATTTTTCCTTAAGACCTAACTGCCTTGGGAAATATCAAAAATCAGGAGAAGATTTCAACATGAAATGACTCAGCCAAACAGTACATGTGGCTTTTGAAGAGACCATTGCTAACATAATGAGTAAAGTTTTTTTTCAGACACTTCCATCTACTGCTCTCAGGCTGGGCACTTGGGAACTGTGCAGTCAAGATTTTTGACTCTAAGCCTTCTGCCTCAATTCAATAATCTGTTTTTCTGGGTTTACAGCAAATCCTATTGCTGTATCCTATTGCTCCATAACTACAAGAGCAGCCACAGATTAGAAACAAACAAACAACAACAAAAAAGTTTGGTGTCTCAACTTTGGAAAAGATACCAACTCAAGGAAATGAAGACATGGGATAGGAAGGAAAGAAAATGCAGTCAATTATAGTAAAGACATCAGCACAACCATGTTCATTGCAGCACTATTCACCTGGGCTTATGGCAGAAGCACAGATGCACCTCAATGGACAAATGGATCAAAAAATGATCCCCACACACACATTGGAATTTCATTCATCTTTTGGAAAAAATGATACTATACCATTATACTATACCAGTAAGAAAATGGAAAGAAAAACTTAGAAAACATTATATTAAAATAAGCCAGATCCAGAAAACAAAGGCTGGACTTGTAGTAGATAGAATGTACCTATAAATATACAAGTAAACAAGTTGGGCCATGTGCAAGTAGCTACAAATGAATTAACTGAAGTATAAGAAACTCACCGGAGAACTCAAATTGCATAATCTTTTAGAAAGACTAGATCAAAACCCAAGAAAATCAACACTAGGAAAGGGGTGCTTGCCAAGGTGGAAGGGCAAGGAGGGAAGGAAAGATGAATGACGGGGGAAACGTGGGGAGCATGCAGTCAAGAACTCATTGTGTAGATCACAAACTAAGAAAAGTAAGAGAAGGGCTAGGTCAAAGGGGAGGGTGTTGAAGGGATAACACAAATCAAGACGCATTGTATTCATAAACTGCTTCATTGTAGGCACCTCCTTTGTAGAACTACTTAAATAAAAACAATTAAAGAATGCGGTTAGTCAAGGTGAGAAGGCCACTATGAAATATCTAAATGAAGGTCATCTGGACACAACCAGGCTCCTTCAAAATGTCATAAGCAGGAAGACTAATCAAATTCTGGAAGACTGACATGTTGAATTGATACTTCTTAAGGATAATTAAAACTATAATAATAAATATGAATAAAATTAAACATTAGAAAAAATATCCAAAGGTATTTGTCTTCCCCCCTACATCAAACTTTCCTTTGTCTCTTACATTAAATTGCAAAGACATAGAGGTTTAAAATTTTTGATAAGACAATAAAAATCATCCCCTCTAAAAATCTTTTTTTTCCCTTCAATTTCCAAATTTAAAAAAGTTCTTCTCAAGTGCCAAAACCTTCAGACTTATCAGCCTCAGTGAAGAGGAAAACTACATTGCATAATTCAAAAATAAATCTCTCTGTCTGGCTGTTATTTTACGATCCATTTTGGATTCTCCTCCATTTTTATTGCTTTCAGGGTATTTCTAACTATTCTCACATCCACAGTCTTCAAAAGTCTTCTGAAAAGTCATTCTAAGTCTTTCTTAAAATTTCTTGTCCCTTCAAATGCTTATGTGTACTGTTTTCTGTCTTTCCTTTTAAGGTCTTCCTTGCTGAGGGTTTTTTTTTTTTTTTTTTTTTTGTGAATCGAAGGGCTTGAACTCTGGGCCTGGACGCTGACCCTCAGCATTTCAGCTCAAGGCGCAAGCCCTCTACCACTTGAGCCACAGTGCCACTTCTGGTGTTTCGGTGGTTTATTGAAGATAAGCATCTCGCAGACTTTCCTGCTTGGGCTGGCTTTGAACTGGGACCCTCAGATCTCAACCTCCTAAGTAGCTAGGATTACAGGTGTGAGCTACTGGCACCTTGCTGAATTTTTTTTATTGCTTATTTTACTCTTTTAATTTCCCTTCTTTCTGATGGTCATATTTTACCTACATTGGCCAATCTGAACCATACTACATTTTTTACCTACATGAAAGTTTAGTGCAAATCAGAGAGAGAACACTGATTTTAATCAGGCAAAACAATTGGATGTTTCAACTTTGATTTTAGAAAAGCATTAAAATAAAAAATTTCATTATTTCTATCTGTCAGCCATATAATCACTGACTAAATCTCCAAAGATTAAAAATGAGGAAAAATACTTTTTGTATAACCAAACTATTGCTAAATTTAGAGGTTTGTTGCTTTCTATCTGATATTTGCATTTTGTATAGCTACCTTTCAAATTATGTTTTCCATGTGTCTCTAGGTCTCAGTGCCAACAAGTCTTGGCATTTTAGGTTTTGCATTTCGGTCAGAACTGATTGATCACTTGAATATTGGCTGACATTTTTTACACTTCTGTGGGTATTCTCATATTTTAGAAAATAGTTGATATTGAAATAAGCTTGAAATTCTTTAATATCTTTCATGCTTAAGTGTTTCAAAAAAAGCATCCAGGACTTTAATTTGTTCCCAGGCAAATAAGCCAAATATGGTTCTATGCACTCCAAATGAATCATTGCACAAGAATGAATATTTGGTTTTGGGAATAAGTATTATTGTTGGAAAATGAAATAAACTTGAACCATAAGCAATGTAACATTGTCATGTTGACTGCTGAAATCTTATAAATATTCAATTTTCTGCATTTTGACCCTGGCAGATGCTATATTTTTTTCTAGCTGTAAATAAGAACTTCACTGAATTGTACTTTTTAAAGAATAAAGGAAGTTACCAAATTACAAATTGCAAAGAGAGAGTTTAGAAAAATTTCAGTTTTTCTTATCAAATGAGGAGCAGAAAGAAGGAAAGAAAGGAGGAAGGAAGAAAGAAAGGAAATTATCTTTCCATAAATGTATACATTAGCAGGGTAGGAAAAGAATTATACACACAGAGGTAAGGAAATCAATTTGTTTTTGGTAAGTTAACCATTGCAGACTGACAGCAAGCCACTAATCCATATTGAATTAAGAATGATAAGTAATGGCATCATTTTGGCTTACATAATTTATGAAACCATATTACTGCAAAATTTCTTGAGATTTAGTCTCTGTTGCCACAATGCCAAGACTAGAAAAGAAATCCCAAATGCTTAATACATGAAATTTTATCTCTCTTCAAATTATTTTCCATTGTACTGAGTAACATGAAATGGACGAAAAGTGCTTTTTAGTCTTCCTATTATAGTTTCAAGAGAGTAAAAATAAAACATCACAAAAGAAAGAAAATATGGTATCAGAATTCCTGAATGATGACAAATCATTATTTGGGGTCTTGATAATGTCCTTTGAGCCAGAGAGCATGACAATGTGGCATAATTCTATCCCTATGTATAGCTTCATTTTTTTCAGATCTAAATTAAACATTCATTATGAGGAAGGGCCAGAGAGGAGATTTATTTTTCTCATTGTACCAAATGGCATAAAAGTTACTAATATTTTGGGAGAACTAGAGGTTTAGCTTGGATTATCCAGAGAACAATTACCTTTTAGAGTTTTCTTCTGGAATAGAGTTATTGGTCATGTAAGAGGTGAATATTCATTCCACAGCATTATGTGCTTAGAAACCAAATGCACCTGATTTGGTTTCTGCTTGTAGTAGGAAGTGAGATGCATGGTAACGTGTTGTTGTATGGCAAATTGTATCCAATCACTAGCCAGACCTTAGACTGGTTTCCTGTGACGAAACTAGCAAGCCTCTGTATTTTGTTGAAATGTGTTTAGGCTCCTTAATTTGAACTTAAATACCTAAGTGTAAAGATATTTTTTTTTGGCCAAATAACCTTCTTTTCACATTATCAACCAGCCAGAGACACTGTTCAATCACGTTCTCCTGGATTTTGAGGTATGTGGCTGATATGATAGCAAAAAGCACTAAGATAACAAGGCTAAATGAGTTGAGGCAACTTTTGAATGAACATGACATTTACTAAACATTACCTATGCATGTTTTTGCATCAGAATCCAGCTGGTGTCCATGGTTACAGGAAAAACATGGCCCTCCAATCCCAGGTTCACAGTACTGAGAACATCCACCATTGTCCTTCTTACAGCTATTGACAATTTCCAACTCAATCCCTATCCAAAAGAAGCAAGAGTGTATGACATAACACCAGAGTTAGCATAACAACAGAGAAAACTGAACACATGTCAACTTGGGCATACTTTCTCTTGTGAGAGGAAGACCAACTTTATTGAAAATTTATCAAAACTTGGTGCCTATAAAGGAAAAGTCTGAGGGCTATAAGCATTGTAAATGTCTACACCATATTAAAATATTAATGAATCTACGAGTGGTGTAGATTTCTATCTGTTAATAGATTAATAACTAAGTGATGCAGAATGGAAACATTGAGTCTCCCAGTGGCTATTAAACATGTATCCTAAAGATCATGTACCCTAGAGAATTCTTAGGATATATATATATATATATATATATATATATACACATGTATGTGTATGTATGTATATACATATAGATTTCCTATGGTTACCACCTTTTCAGGACAAGAATCAGAATGTCTGGACGTCTGAAGAATTTCATTCAGGCTTCTCTCATTTCTGCTTGTGATACTGCATTGGTAATTTAAACATATATATAAATGGTACTATAATAACTCATTAAAAATAAATGGGATTATCACAAGGCAATAGTCAGATCTGTAACACCCTAGTAGAAGCAAGTTGAGATTCTGGATTCTAAATCTAGATGATACATGACAACTTACTGCTATACATTATAAAATAAATATCAAACTTAAATAGAAACGATCCCAGTTGCTTCTCACCGGCAATGCATGTATTATTGTTGGACCAATAAAATATCTGGAACTTATGTTACATTCTAGTATACACTTTGTAAGGAGAAGATCTTATGTAATCATCCCAGATTGTGAACTTTCTAATTTCTATTCACAAGATAAGTGAGAACTAATTCATAGCACACTGTGAGGAATGAGTGGCTAACTATGAAGTATTTTGTGACCATTTCAGAAGAAATTGCATAAATACAAAATTGTATTTTCTAGGAAAAAGTCAAAGCAAGTATCCTAAAGTGCAATTGTTAGACAGGCATACAATTAGTGGTTAAATATTACCATGCATTAAAAAGATTTATGCTGCCTGCAGGCTCTTAAACATCTCAACATACGAGCTCATGAAGAAAGTTGGTACTTAGTTAGCAAATATTGTAGTCTTGTTATAGCTTCAGAAAGAACTTTGTCAAAGGGAACTAAATATAACAAATAGACTCCTATCCAATTTGCTCAACTCTAGGGCAAATTGCTTTTCCAAGTAAATTCTATAGAAAGCCTGTACTCATTAAATCATTAGCAGCCAATGTCCCTCTTTCATAATAACTGAGAATGAACCTGTCAAGTTGCAAGATGTATTATTTCATACATGTGCAAAATATGCTCCTTTACTAGATCTCTGGTGATGTTTAAAAACCAACTATTATTCAAAAAGAAAATAATCTGCATTTTTTCTCTCTCAGAACGAATTCCTTAAGGCATTCAGAAAGACTAACTTGAGAAGAAGTTGTATTTTAATTACTAGTTGATTTCCTCCCATATTATTTAGTTTGCTCTTTAAAAGGCAAACATCACTGTAGCAAACTGCAGTCTTTGCATAGTAGAAATGTGGCTGTAAGAAACATAGACATACAACCATGGAATGAGTAAAATCATTCTCATGAAGGAGTCCAGGTGGGAATGCAAAACTGTCTTATGTCCTATTGCCTTAATTCTTCTTTGAGTTACTTCCAATAAAGAGGCATGCAATGGATAAGAACACAGCAGAAAGTTGTTCTCAAGCTAAAAGAATCTAATTCAAGCCTCAGTACTGTAACTCACTGGTACTATGGGGCTTTTTGGCTTCAGCACTGTGGACAGTTTAACTAAGATGTGAGAAAGTGGGCAGAGCATCTTTGGGGCTGAGACTCACAATTCACTATTCCCTTTTGGTCCTATCCATTTGCAGTGATTACCAGTCTTGCAAGTACAGTTACTGAGTGCATAGTTTGTTCACATGTAATTAGAAGAAGAGGAGTTGGACATATAAGAAATTCACATAGAGGTGGATCAGAGATGGAGAGCAAAGGTAGAAAGGTGTAGTAAGGTAGAAGGGAAGATATGGACCACTGTGCCTTGAGCACATTAACAAGGGCCTTGAGCATATTAACATCTTAACATATTCCTAATTATGAGCACATTGAATTGTACAGCTAAATCTAGGCAAGGAAGACAGCGAAGACTGGAGGACAGAGATCATAACTGTGTGAAGATTAAAGGTAGTGGGATGAGGCAAAGAAAAGCAATGCAGAAGAAGTTGCTTAAAGAGGTCTGATGAAAAAGGATGCATGTTTTTCCATACATGTGCAAGCTAGAGTTAGCTTACAAACTCATAAGTAAATATGTTGCATGATATGCAAATATATATAAATGTATTAACTGAAATACAGTAGATTCAAGGGAGATCTCAGATAGTGTAATTCCTTAGAAAGTCAAATTCGAAGTTCAGCAAACTAAAACAGGAAGTGGGTCCTCAGAAGGGGTGGTATAGGAGGGGCTCAAGGGGAAAGGGATAGAAGAATGAAGGGCAGAGGGGAAGAATGTGGACAAGAATTCAATGTGTGCCCTGAAAAATTAAGAAGAGTGAAGAATGGAGTTGGGTAGGGGAGGGATGGGTAAGGGCACTGAAAGGGATAACACTGATCAGGATGTATTATATTCACCAACTGCTTCGTTACATGTCAACTCCTTTGCACAATTACCTAAAGATAGTTTTTTAAAAAGAGGAATAGCAGTGAGAGAAAGAGGAAGAAGGCCAGCAAGGAAGATACGTATGGGCATGCAATATGTCAGGAGTGGTAGTACAAAGGGTACACTCTGTACCACCGTTGGCTACTGGTAGTTCTTTTTCCTTGCATTTCCCATTGAAGTTTTAGTGTGTAGTAAGCATTGCAGGACAGAGGTGACAGAAGAAGAGAGAAGCTTCACAAAGAAGAACACTGTAGGTGCAGGTGAGGCACAGGTCAGAAGATCTGATGATCAGCGAAGGTGGCTGGCTTTCCCAGCCCCCATCCTTCCTTTAGGATGCTTTCTCAAGATATTCACCGCTGCTGTGTCTACGTATAAAGTGTCACACAATTCCTGGGCTGTGAATGTTGCCACTTATGGTAACAGTGTTTCCCATCAGCTCCAAGCTCAAAGCCGGTATGGCAGGAACATGTGAAAACTCCCACTGAGTTGATACAGGACGACTGCAGAGAGGAGCCCTTCAGCGCACTCATTTATATCTGCCCAGAGAGAGACACAGCAGCTACATCTTTGCAATTCTGAGGAAGACTTGCTTGAACTATGAAAATCAACCAACTCTTCTTCAACAAACCCTTAAAGTGTACTGTGACAATAAATACCACTTAGGCTCTCTATTTTTTTTGTGTAGAGAAGGAATCTGTCAATAAAGCAACAATTTAGACCTGGCTCCAGTGTTGGCCAGATGCCATAAAATACTTCAACTAAAAGCCAGTGATATCTGTTAACTGGGAAAAGGGGAGAAAAGATCTGGTCAAGATGCATTGTAGACGTGAATGGACACGTGGTATAGAAACTCATTTGTTTAACTATTTAAAGGTGCAAAGCAATTGCTTAGGAAAAAAAGACAAAAAAACCCAGACCAAATCTATCTTCTACTGCTGCAAGTAGAAATCATTTGAAGATGTATTTTAGAATATTTATCACATTCTTAATAAATGTTAGCATATTCCTCTTTTAAACGAGGTAGTATGTGTTTAGTCACTGGTAAGGCAGAGTTTGAGCCTTTATGTGGCTGTTACTAGGTAGGATATGTAACCCCTGGTTCTTTGTCTCTCTGTCTCTCTCCACCTATGGTCACTTCTATTCCACGTGACTCTAGATTTGTGTCTCAGATGATCCTTGTCCCTTCCTTGTAAATGGATGGGTCTTATCTTCATTTCCTTTCTACAAGTGTCTCAGCATTTTGCCATCCAGCACGCATTTATACAATTTTTGTAAAATCCTCAACATAAAGCAGTTTGGGAATAGACTTTTCTAGAAATAAACTATTAAAATTCAAATTCAAAAACATGTTGGTGATCTATTTATCTGTCCCTCCCACACCTGTCATCTACCTATCTACTTCCCTCTCTAATTTGATCCATTTTCAACAAATATTCAACAAGATTTCATTTTATCTCTTTCCTTCTCCCAGGTACTGCTGGGAAGGTTCCCTGGTATCAGAAAAGCAAAGCAAAAATGTTCTCTGTCAGAATACTGTAGTTTAAAAAATCCATAGACATATTTTATCCTAGTTCTGACTTAGAAAAAATAAAACCAATTTCTCACTAATATTACACCTAATTTCTTTTTCAATTCCTCGAAATGTTTATCAGTCCCCTAAGTCCAGAAACATTTTGGTATTTTCATCATTAATCCAAATATAAACTTTCTCATTTCATGAAAATGTCATGATAAAAATGAAGGATTCAGAGATTTCTGAGAAGTTATTAAAACAAAAGCTGTCCCCCAGGAATGGGCTTAATTTATCAGTGTTGGTCATGGAATAATTCATCACTTTCATCCTTGAACTGAAGGATGTCTGTTTTGCTATTTCTAGGAAAGAAAAATATGTAACCTTGCATTTATTGAGTCTCTTTCTTTTTTAGTTTAATTATTGCTGACTTCTAAGAGCATTCATTTGCACACACTTGCTTTTCAAAGATTATTTCCACCTTTTGTAGCCTATAATCAAAAACTCCCTGTGTGGTTACAGAAGGTTTCGAAATATTAATTCTGGAACCCAATTCAGAATATTAAAAAACACCCAGAAAACAAAAAGCATTAATTCTGAAATGACAGTAGGGCATTAAAAAATTCAAACTAAGAATTTCACTGAGTTTTTATAATATTATAAAAATACCTTTTGGAATGATCAAATAAGAGTTTCAGTGTTTCTTTTTTTGGCAAAAATATCAACATCGTTTCTCCTAGGCCTTCTGACTGTTCCAAACTGCACTACCACAAAATGGGAAACAGTTAGACAATTAAGCCATCAGAATCTACTTCCTACCTTCACAGGCCTTTTTGTCTTCCAACAGCTGGTACCCTGGGTGGCAGGCACACCTGGCCATGCCATTCTTACTCTGACATATGTGAGCGCATCCATTACCACCTGTGCAGGGGTCCATCTCTGAAAGCAATTAAGCAGTGATAGCTTACATTTCAGTCTGTTCAGAAAGATGTACAGCATGGAAGAGTCCACAAAGAAAGGTCAAGAAAGCACAGAGGTGGTTGCATTTGCTCCTTAAAAAGGAGGAAAATTCTAGAGAGCCTTGTCTTGTTTTCCCATGGAAGTTGTTCAACAATTTTTCCCTAACTTCATGATCTAGACCTCAAATCTGGACAGATCTAAATTTAGATCAAGGACAAGAAGAATTAATTTAATGTCAGGACAATCTATCTCCTGCACCCTGCTACCCAAAATGAAATGAAGAATTACAAAAACCCTTCAGATACCTCCATACTTTTAAATTTCTTTTCCTCCCTGTCTTTCCTGCTTCTTTAAGCAATAGGGTCATCTGTAGATAAAGTCTGTGTCTCTTTTCCTGGTCCCTGTGGACAGGCAGTCAGGGTGTCAAGAGAAGGCAGCCTGCCGAGGAAACGGAAATCCCTAGTTTCAGCTGGAGTGGAAAGCCTTTGGGTAAGCTGGCCTCATCCTTCATTTGCTTCTGCTTTAATCAATTGATCATTTTCTTTTCTTTCTAGAAATTCACAGAAATGAGAAGTCACAGATCCGATTAGGATCCTCCACAGAGAGCTTACTTGCTAGTGTTTGAGTTAAGTGGCTCTTGTCAGCTTTTATGACTCTACTTTTGTCTACCTTATAGGCTGCTAGAGTGTGATAGCAAAATTCCCATGCTCGTCCTGCCTATATGCATCTTATAAGGCAGAATATGAAGCAACAAAGCATGGTATAAACCCACCTTTCTCCCATAGTCATGCAACTGTAACCCAATCAATACTGAGCATAAATACTTTTAGGTGTTCCTTGAGAAACTTTCTACAATTTGAATCTGTTACACCTGATGGTTTCCATTTAGGGAGATGATTAATTATTGATACAATTTCTCTAGTGAATACAAAAGTTATTCACCTTGCATATCTCTGCTTGTATGTTTTGGAAGATTATGTCTTTCAATGAATTAATTCATTACTAACATTTCCCTAATTTTAACTGATAAGTCAACAGAAGAGACGTGGTATGTAGCTCAGAAGTAGTGTTTGGCATTCATAAGATCCTGGGTTTCCAGAAGTACAAAATAAAAACAAAAGCAAAAGGTAACAGAATATACAGCCCTTCACGCATGACTTAATGGTAATGTAAATGACTTGACATTTATAGCCACTTCAATCAACAACTGAAGAATACACATTCTTATTTATGAATCAAAATAAAGGCTCAATAAACATACAATGATTACAGATATAGAGTTTTTCCTTTGATCAAAGTAGATTAAGTTAGAATATAAAAAGTGAAATGACACATGACAATTCCCCAAGTATTCAGAAATTTAACTACAAAATTCTAGTTATCCATGACTGAAATAATGAATCCCAGGGGAAATACAAATCCATTTTTAAGTAAACAAAATCACTATTGCAATGTGTGGGAGAAAAATAAAGCAGTGGCTAGAGAAATGGGTAGTTTTAGGTATTTGTGTCATAATAGAAATATAACATTTAGAAACTGCCAAAAGTTGAAAAAATTAATCCCAAAGAGAAAAAGGAACAACTTTAGATTGAAACCAATAAAATAAAAATGTGCCAAAACAATTCATAGAGTCATTTTTTAAATGTCAATAAAATGTCAACCATTTAAGTGGATCAAATTTAAAGCAAAAATAGGAGTGAATGAGAAATATTACAAATAATCACACGAAAATATATTTGACCACTTGCATGAAACACAAATACCTTCCACCTCATAATGGATTACAGTTTATTAATTGAAGAAGTCATGGAATGCCTTAAAAAGATCTATCCCAACTTCTATAATTGAATAAATTAAGCCAAGTGCTGGTGGCTCATGCCTGTAATCCTAGTTACTCAGGAGGCTGAGATCTTAGGACCATGATTTGGACACAGCCAGGGCAGAAAAGCCTGTGAGACTCCTATCTCCAATTAATCACCAAAAGGCTGGAAGTGGAGCTGGTTCAAATAATAGGGCATTAGCCTTGAGCAAAAAAGGTCAAGGACAGTGCCCAAGGCTTGAATCTAGGCCCCAGGATTGGCACACATGTGTGAATACACACAAATGAATAAATGTATTTTGTTTTTCTAAAGAAAATTAAAGGCACAATATCATCACAGGTAAATTGTTTCAAACATTTAAAAGTCTATTCCGATCCCTCACAAACTCTTGCAGAAAAGAGTTGAGAGGTGATATTTTCATCTGCTTAATGAAGTCAGCTAATACCAAACCAGAAAAACATTAGAAAAGCAAAATTGTAGACTAATTATTCCAATGAACATAGATGGAGAGACAGCATCACATCTACATTGACAATTGTAAGGTTAGAGAAGGAGACAGAGCATCTGGACCCCTTGCACATTGGGTGGGAAGATAAATCATTGAACTCCAGAAGATAGTATGACAGTGCTTTAGGGATGCTACATATGTGCTTACCATCTGACCCAACAATTTTATACTTATTTATTGTATGACAAATAGCATTTAGTAATACAAATGGAGTGAGCTACTACCAGATACAAGAACATAGATAAGTCTAAGAAACATTCTGCTGGGCAAAGGAAGCCAAGCATAAATGATTACACAGAGAGTTCTTCTCTTTATTGACACTATGACAAACACAAACCAGATCAACGTTGACACAGAGTGATCACTGGTGGCTTTGGTTGAGACTAGATAAGTTGTCAGAAAAAAGCCATTAGGAAGGCTTTGGATGTGATGAAAATACTGTTTTTGTTGCAATATAGTGACACAATGTATATTTTGAAGTATGCAAAATTAAAAATGTTACCTTTTTATTAAATGTAACTTATTACCACAAAGTTAAGTTGAATTAAAAAGGATTCACAACACTAAGAATATGGTGTATTTTTGCAGAGAAATTGATGGAATTCTTCATTCTTTCTACATGTCTCAATAAATATCTGAGTCCCCTTCAGAGCTGTGCCATGTCATATTCTTTCTTCTATTGTGAGCCAGTCAAGGTTAAGAAATGAATGCTAGCAGAAAATTGAAGCTAGATCCTTATATATCACCCTGCACCAGAATCATTTCCAAGTGGATCGAAGACCTCAATGTAAGGCCAGATACCATGAAAATATTACAGGAAAGGGTAGGGGAAACACTAGGGTTTCTAGACACTGGTCGAAACTTCCTAAGATCCAGAATCACAACAAATCAAAGAAAGATAGGATAAATGGGAACAAATAGAATGAGACAATATCTTTACTAGGGCCTCAGACAAGGGCCTCATATCTAAAAAAATTTAACCTCCCCCCACAAAATAGACCCTCAAACAAACAACAATTATTAAATGAGCTAACAACTTAAAGAGAGACTTCTCAGAAGAAGTAAAAATGGCTAATAGACACAAAAACAAACATTCAACATCTCTGGCCATACAAGAAATATAAATCAAAACAACATTGAGATTCCACCTTACCCCAGTTAGAATAGCCATTACCAAGAAATCTAATAGTAACAGATCCTAGCAGGGATGTAGCCAAAACAGGACACTACTACCCTGTTGGTGGGAATGTAAACTTGTTCAACCTCGCTGGAAAGCAATATGGAGGCTCCTCAAAAGACTGAACATAGAACTTCCCTATGACCCAGCAATTCCACTTCTGGGCATTTATCCAATAGAAAACAAACAAGGCCACACTAAAGCCACCAGTGCAACCATGTTCATTGCATTATTATTTACCATAGCCAAGATATGAAATCAATCCAGATGCCCCTCACTTTATGAATGGGCCAAGAAAAAGTAGTATATGTATACAATGGAATTCTATGTTTCCATCTGAAAGAATGACTCTGCCCCATTCCTAAGGAAATAAAAAGACTTGGAAAAAAATTATACTAAGTGAAGTAAGTCAGACCCAAAGAAAAAGGTTGTATGTCTTCCCTCATTTGTTGTAACTATTAAATCTACAAGTAAACACAATGGATGGTAAAAGACAAAAAGTTATACTTGAACATGATAAATTATACAGGATTCTCAACATCCACAAAGTGAGGCCAAAGTATATTCTCAGGAAAGAATCACAGAAGCTCAATATCTCTGTGCATATGGATCATAGAAATGATGTTTATTGAAATGAATTCCATGAAATGGAAACAAGAGGATTTTTGCTATTTTGCTTTCTTTTTTCACCTTTGTTGCTGTTTTTTAAATTTTCTGTACCTTTTATCTTATATATAAGTTTCTAGTTTTGGTGAGGGTAAGAGGGAGCACCGGAATGATGGGACAAAGAGTGAACAAATGCAGCAGTGATACTCACTAGACACTGTTGAAAATAAACTACACAGTTTATGGGGAAGGAGATTTGGGAGGAAAACACTGGGAGAAAATAAGGGAAAAGGTGACACTGTTCAAAAAGAAATGTACTCATTACCTGACTTATGTAACTGCAATCCCTCTGTACATCACCTTTACAATAACAATAAAAAAAGTTAAAAAGAAAAAAAGGAAGGCTTCTGTTTTAAAGAACTATGTGAACAACTGGCATACTTCTCTCTCTTTTTCTCTCTTTAAAGTAATGTTTACAATTATATTTTGTTTTTGCTGTCTGAGTAGTCATTGTTCTGATTCCCTGATTAACTGAGACGAGGCTGGTTTTGTTTTCTTAGCTTCCTCCTTGTTACGGTCTCCTCCATGGATCCTTTCTAATTGTTCTCGTGATTACTGTTCTTATTGAATGGAGTTTCCTCTTCTCAAATCAAGTCTCTTGACCCAATTTGGGGAAATAGTAGTTAATGTTATGCGATAAAAGTTTCCAACATCAAATAATCTTCCAATTGACAAAACAAAACAAAAATAGTTCTGTGCAATCAATTATAGTCATCTGAAAATAACAAAGAAATGAGGTATCCCATCCATATTTGACAGTGGCGTTTTTAGTCATAAGCCCATTTAATAGACTAAAGTCTCCTAGGAG